TTCACCTAAAATTATCTGTGCATGTTTCTGACAGAAGACATAGATTTGCTGAATCACCCAGTCCCCAAGGTCTCAGTAACTCAGGCCCAGGCCACCTGCACTGTGTCCTTAAACATTTTCCCAGTACAGATGAACAGCCAGAAAAGGAGACATCCTGGGAAGTTGGGAGACCTTTTACAAAGAGGAAAGGGAAAGCTGGGTGTGGTGGCACACACCTGTAATCCCAGCACTTGGGAGGCTGAGGCAAGAGGATTGCTGTGAGTTCAAGATCAGCCTGGGCTGCATAGTGAGTTCCAGGTCAGTCTCAACTACATAGTGAGACCCTGCTTCAAAAAAAAAAAAAAAAAAAAGAAGGGGAACAAGACATGGAGAGGGGAGGGAAGGAAGGGAAGACAATTAAAAGTAAAATGGAAAAACATCAAGATTTGGAAGAAGCAGGGAGATATTGGAAGGGCAGGGGACAGAAAAGAATTACGATGTGCTTTGCAAATGCACACGTACAAACTTCCCACAGCAAATATGGTCATTATATATTGCAAAAATATACTAATAAAATACATAATAACAATGAAATTCTAAAATAATAAAAACATTTCCCACCTGTGTAATTACTATGGAAGATACATCAACCAGTATAACCCAATTTTTTTAATTAGGGAAGAGGAATTTATTTTTAAAAGGACAAAAATGCAGTAAGAGACTGGTAATAGTGTAATTCAGCAAAGGCCTGTCGTCCTTCTCACCAGGCAGGACCTCACCCTTCCCTAATCCAAACACTGACTTCTGTCCAACCCCAGGCCGCCCTTGGCGGTACAAGGTGAGGGATACCCAGTCCAAGGAGAGCACAGGTGCTGCTCTGACCTGCAGCCTGCGCAGGTGAGCGCTTGGTGACTGAGTCCCTGACATCAGAGCCTGCACACAGGCGTCAGCACTGCGTGGGAGGTGCAGCGTGGACTGTGAGCGCTCTGAGCTCATCCTCCTGGCACCTGCAGAGGATCTGCTGTCCACAGCAGAAGGTGCAGGGTGAGCACAGTTCTGAGACGCACAGAGCTCATTCTGAAGGAAACACCACTGTGCAGCGCACGCAGTCCGGCACGGAGGCCGTGTGTGAGAAAGATTCCATATCAGCCTGACCCTGAGGGCGCTCTCCGGGCTCTGAACATCTCCTAGTCCAGCCTCCTGGGCACTCCTTTACGTTCCCCAGCAGGTAGCCCTCCTCCAGGTTGTGCTGCAGTGCAGGCCCTGACTGGCTGAAAACCTCACCAATGAGGACGTGATTCAGCCTCCTCAGCACCAGCCGCTGAAGCCTTGGAGGGCGCTTGTGATGAAAACACTGCGGGGACAGCCCAGGGCCAGGAGCTGGACGCTTTTAGGGTTGCCTTTTTTCTGCTTGGAATTTGACTGTAGTGCTCTAATCATGCTTTATCCTTCATAAAAACGCAGTTAATTTACATTTAGGAGATAGGACACAATTTGTTAATTTTATGTTTCGAATTTATGGCTATATTGTCACAAATGTTCAGGTTATCTTTAAGCACAGTTTTCATTCTTTTGTCTTTTAGCAAATAAAGTGAAATGTGATACAATGGTACATTATTGGTAATTGAAACACATACCATAAAAATAAAAATTGAAATACAATTATAATGAACCATGCTTCTTATTACTAGTATATCTTCACTGTACTGAGTCGTTTTAGAATTATATAAAATATTGATTCATTTATGTTTTTTGACGATGTTATTTTATTGAAAAAGTTTATAGTTTGTGGTGTAACATTTCAATACCTGTGTTAAATATATGATTATATGTAATCACTGCAGTTAATTTTTCATTCACATTTACTTTGAAATTAAAATACTTTATAACAGTTGATACATATTACTTAGTTATAAGGAAAATTATCAACACTATAAAAACACTATAAAGTTCTTATTTAGATTTAAAATATTATATTACACATTGTATAATCCCTGTATTCATAGCATTTTTAAGGATATGGGGCACATATTTGATGCAAAGTTACAAGTGACAAAATCTTACATCTGCTAAAAATAATTGGGTTGTATTTACACAAATGTATGCAGGGCATAGACATTCACTCTATTCTTCAGTGGTATAACATACCTGGAAGACGCTGCTCACATCTGAACACATTGTTGGAGACAGTTGCTACTCCATGATCTACTGGTGCAGAGCAAATGGGATGCTGGTGTTAGAAGAAGATCAACAATGCTGTTATTGGGAAGGGAAATTCAGCAGTACATTTGAAGTCATTCATGATGGCTCATAGCTGACCACATAGTGAGACTGTGTTTCCAAAAATAAAGAAATATGCTTTACTTGTAGTAGCATCATCTATTTTTATATAATCTTACATGAAAATGCACAGAAGAAAAATGTACAGTCACTCTTGAAAGAATGAGATTGTTGTATTTTACTCAAATATCTTCATGTCCAGTAAACCTTGCTGACTCCACAGAAAACCTTGGGTGAAGAATACAGTTTTCAGTTTATATGCCAAAGACAAGAAGTGATCTTTTAACATTACACTATTGGTGGTTTACAGGAGTCTTAAATTGGTGTTTGGAATAAAGATTATATCAGAGCACAATTCATTAGGTATACTAATGGTGATCTTAAGATTCATATAATTGTCATGTTGGTTATAACCAAATATCACTATCTCCCTTGCAAATATCTAGAAATTGACAGGAAGGAACTTCAATAAGAAAATAAAAGTGTTAAAAGCTTCAAAAATAAACTAGAAATAAAGTAAATACAGGTTTATTCATAATTGTCTGCCTTTTAAAAGAAAATACTGTGATATGGGAGAGATGTGATGTTGTGAATGAATTCATTGGGAGTAAGAGGCATTGAGAGATTGGTTTGGTCAGAAGACACTACTGTGTTTCAAATCATCAATTTTAGAGGCAGGGGAAAAATTAAGGAAAAAAAAACCATTTTGTGTAAAAGAGATTGATATTACTGGGAAATTCCCTGTGAGCAGGAGAAAGATTTTTTTTTCTTTTAGTTTTTTAAAAGAAAAGTAAAAAAAAAGTAAAATCTCTTTAAATTCTAATGTGCAGACATTCCAAATTTTCTGTCTATAGAACTAGAAACTCAATTTATAAGCAAAAAGATTGTTCCTAATAAAAGGGAAAATTTCAAAAAAGAAAGAAAGGAGGAATGCAGAGAAGTCCAAAGGATATGGGATGTTATTTGCATTTAGGGCATAAAAATTAAGGTAGGTTTAAATTCCCTTCAGTGCATTCTGATATCTTCTTATCCTTCATAAGCTACCATTCTCTCATTTTGACTCTATTCATTTTTTTTCCTTTCCACTTTGTATCTCTCCCTCTCCAATTGGTCTAGTCTTCTTCTTCTTGGGGTGTGTGTGTGTGTGTGTGTGTGTGTGTGTGTGTATGTATGTTTGCACCAGGGATTGAACTTGGGTCCTTGCACTTGTAAGGCAGGTTGCAGAACCACTGAGCTAAAGCCCCACCCCTGGTCTATTCTTTTAATTGTGTTTTAAGATTATGAGTGTCCATTGTCTACAGATCCCTGGGAAACTCTACTGCTTATGCAAAACCTCTCAGACAGCATTCTGCCTCCTGAGGAGAGCTGGCCCTGGGTGAACCCTCACTTTAGGATCCACAGAGCCAAGCTGAGTGACCCTAATCCAGTCTCCTTGCTCGAAGCTCAGTGAGTAGAACACTAAGAACGCATGGGGAGGTGTCATTGTTCACTTACTTGATAGAAAACACATAAAGCTTATGCTCTAAAGTATTGTCCTCAGAGTTTCTGACACATTGTGCTTAAAGAAGGGAAGAGTGGCCTCTCATTGCTCAGGTGAGTGTCCAGCAATGGATTCAATTCTCTGATTTATGCTGTGAGTAAAAAGAAGGAGGAAAGGAGAACTGGGGGAAACACTGGGAAGGGGACAGTGGTTTGCAGGAGTGGTGTCTCTCACTGCCTGCATGGGTTATGGAACATGAATTCCAGTGTAAGCGACCATCAGCAGAGACTACCACAGGTGGGAGAGCTGTGTGGAGGATGTGGAAATCAACCAGGAGCTTTTCTGAGGAAGACACTCTTCAGTGTGTTGTCCCCACTGGTGAGTGTTGGAGAATCCCAGGAGTGCGCCACAAGACACACACCACTGAGAATGAGCTCAAGATGAGTCCTGTCAACAGTGGGTCATGCATGGCAGCAGCTCACAGTCAGTGACACCAGAACCTTTCCTCTTCTGTGCCCATCTGTCCAGGTCCAGTGTACTCAGAAAAAATGGAGACCACGAGTATGACGGGAGAAGCCTTGCAGGAACTGACCCCATCTGAATTCCCCGCTGGGTTTATTGAGCCTCTGTAGAGGGTAGGAAAGTATTAAAGAGCTGAGCATGAGATGGAGTTGGACCTCAACCTGACTGGATTTTTAGATCCAGAGTGATTAGAATGCATGGAGAATTTCCAAGGTGATGCTATGGGGATGTGTGGAGGGGAACAGGAACATGAAGACAGGAGTTAGAGGGATCTGATCAGTTTCTGTTTGTGTCTTACGATGTTTGGATGGTTTAGTAAACTCATGGTTTTCGGAGCGTTGAGTTACAGGAAAACTTGCATTGTCTCCCAAGATACTTCCTAAAGAATTCTTTAAACTCATTCTTTCTAGCGTGACTATAGTGATTAATCCTAGTCAAATAATTTTATTCTTGTAACATGATTAATAGTTCACTGTGATTCTAAAGTAGAATCTTGTTTAATTACAATGCTAGCTTCTACTATTATATTTTGTTACTCAAATTTTCTATCAGAAATTGTCAATTGTGATGGGAGTTTTTTTATTAAGTGAGGAAAATTATTTGGCAAATAGACGTTTAAGATTTTGACAATGCTTAACAATGTTTTTATTTTTTATGAAGAGACATGTTAAAAATTATACTTAAGCATTCCTCTAAAAGCCACAAGAAAATTCTAAAGAAAGAATCATTAAAAATCGTCTTAGAAAGAACGGAGGTGGGATTTGCAGCTGTTATCAGTGGATTCTTGGCACTTCAGAAACTGAAGAAGGTTGTTGATTCTCTTTGTGTCATTGAACAGGCAACGAAGTGTGTTATAAACAGCCAACGGGCGAGTCTGTTCTTCAAATGACTTAAAAGACTGATGTCCTGGCCACAAAGCATAGTCCACATATTTTGCGATTTTAGGATCAAAGAACTAGAGAACAAAAAGACAATCACTTAGTAATAACTTCAGTAATATTTGTATATTCTTGTCTTGTTCATTTGTTAAATTTAGAGTTGAGAAGGAATGGAAATACAAAGCTTCAGCCAAAGCATAAGTTTCCATATCCAGTGCATCATAAAACTATCAATGGTATAACAGCTAGAAGATGAATGTAGGTACTGTTCTTCTGACATGTAAGTTATCATGGATGAGATGTGTTCCTGCAAGAGTAGATGAGTAGAGATATAGAAAGCTGCTATGAGAACAGAGATGTGCATTTGAGCAAGGAATGATGGTGAGACTCCATCTCTCATGCTTAAAAAAATTTACATTTCTTACTGCATTTCTTTTTGCAGCTTAGTGTTTACTTGTTGCTTTGAGCGGAATCTATTCTGCATTTTGTATGTGGACCAAGATTTTAGAGATGGTTATGACTAAGCTTGGTGCTTCAATATAGAACCTCAAGTCATGACAGAAATGATGTCTGAATCCCTCATCTAACCCAGTAAAAGTACATCCTTAATTTCCGTGTGATGCTTTCATTAGAGTTCTCTGGGGTAGGAAATATTGAAAAATATGTTCAACCAAGGAAGCTGCCCTATGTGAGGACTGTGCTGTGGGTGCAGCAGACTGTGCTTCAGGAAAGTGCTGCACAGAGCAGGAGAGAGAGCAGCGGGCCCTGTGCCTTCTGTGGGCCTCTGCAAGCTGGGAGATCCTCAGATCCCAGAGACCCAGTGTCGCTGTCCTGCCTCTGAAAGCATCAGCTCATTTCCAGAGCTATGAGGTACAAATCTGGGGTAATTTTAGACCTTGATCTGATGAGCTTTCTCCCACAGAGTAAATATATGTTTTATTGAAATTGGAAGCAAGTGTGTTCATATTTTATCTTGATTTCTTCTTTTTTTAATTAAATTTTGGGGCTTGAGCCCGATGACAATATTTTCTGAAATATGTACCATGATATGCACTATGATATATAAGATGTGGGGACAAAAAGATATAAAATGAACCATTCTAGAATAAATTAGTGACTTCTGGAAGCTGCCTCACAATAATGAAGAAAATAATTTGAAATCAAGGTGCTTTTTTCCTAAGATCTTTGGTTAATATATTCTTTTTATTTGTGTTGTGTCATTTTTTTCTTTTAAAATGACCAAATATAACATGCACCTATTAAAAATACTAGAAATATAAAATTGCCTCTGTTGTTATTTCTAAAATCATATATAACCTGCAATTTTTTTCTGAATATACCAGAAAATGGCTTATCTTTTATCTCACTGTTAGAATTTTCCTATAAAAAGGATATA